CCCCCCCCTCCACTGAGTGTCACAAGTTAGATATGTTGAGGTAAATGGTTGATATGTTTGCAAAGGATATATGTGTACACAGATGAACTAGTTGGATCAGATGATATAGTTGGATCAGATGAATAGTTGAAGGGTTTGATACATTTGGATCAGATGATTGAACATGAATTGCTTCCCAGGGGGCCCCGAAAAGTTCACGAGCCCATATATATATATATACATGGTTTTGAGACCGAGCTGTTGTAAGAGCTTGGTTTTGGGGTCGCGATGTTCACTCTTTTGGGGTCAACAAGAGAGAACGCATATGTTTGGGTGAGTCGTGAGTCCTCCCGGACGCGAGCCATCGTCTCCCGTGCGGCAGACGAAGGGCTTGCACACCCATCCACAGTTTCTTTCGCTCTATGGGTCCCTCGGGTGTCAAGCGGGGAGGGCGAAGGGGTCGTTTTTGAAAAGCCTAGCCAAGGCCTTGAAAACAACTAAAAGAGAAAACATGACACCCAGCATCTTCAAGTACAAAAAAAACCAGAAGGGGGGGTGAGGGGGGGGGAGAGTATGCATATTGTAGAAACGCGCGTTTTTTGCACTCTCTACTTCAAAGCCTTCTATCTGCTGCTGAAATGCTGAAAATTACAATATAAACAAGCAATCTCTCTTGCATTGATAGGCTTGTGAAAGTGGTTCTTTTGTAAGCATTGATAGGCTTGTGAAAGTTGTTCTTTTGTAAGGTTTTGTTCTTTATGGTGAATGATATCTTTTTAATAGGGTTGTGAAATTTGTAAAATTCCTGCTCTATATGCAATTGGTAAACATATTTATTAATTCAATTATGAATTATAAAAATGATTAAATCCATAAGCTAGGTGTTTACCAAATAGTCCCCATGCAAAATCGTATTTCTTTCTTTTAGAGTGGGAATTGTATTGCTCTTATTAAATGCAGTTGGGTAAATACATCAGAATTAGAAAGCAAATAGTTATAAATCCTAAATAACTAAATTCTATTTTAATTCTTAGTCAATTCAAATTCAAATCTATATGTAAATTCAGGATCAATTCTATTTCAATTATATGTCAATTCTATTTTGCTTCAAATTTCCTTCATTGGGATTCAATGCAAGCCAAATTATAATTTGATTTTACCTTTAATTTCATTATTATATAGTTCAGATTCAATTCTAATATTTCATTCGTGTTGAATTAAAATTTGGATTTTATGAAATTCGCATTTATTTCTAGGGAATTGATCTTGCTGTGAACATAATCTTTTTAGTTAAATTTTGACAATATGGAAGTATATTATTTCTTTAATGAAATATATTCATACCACCAATAATATTCATTCTCTAGAATGGAAGCAAAACTCAAGTAGAATTCCATTTGCATTGAATTGGAATCAAGTTAGAAAATTAGATATATAGATCAATTGAGTTTGAATTATATAAAGACGTTAACATGAGAAATCATTAACAAATCAATTGGAAATTGACATAGACAAAATTACAATTTTTAATGCTTAACAAAATGAAATAGAATTAAATGAGAAATAGATTGGAATTGAATGATTAATATTAAACCAAAATCCATTATTCAAATTGAAATTGACCTAGACCTAAAGTAGAATTGAATTAACGATATTTAACATAGGAATTAATTAATAGAACAATATTGCAATATTGATATAAAATTAGGTTACAAATAATTCAATTTAATGAACATTGCAAATTCAATTTGAATTCCAATAAATAGAATGCAAATATATTCAATTTAGAATTAAATTGGAAATATATTGCAAATGCACATATAATTAGATCCAGAATAATCAAAGATAATTACAATTACAACAAAATTGAATTAGAATAAAATTGAATTATAATTTGATTATAATGAAGTTTAAAAATAAAAAAACTTAGTTTAGAATTTAATTAGGTTCAATTTAGAATTAAAATAGAAGTCTATTACATATTCAAAACAAATTCAATTTAAAAAATTCATTTAGATCCAATTTTATTATCAATAAAAATAGAAATGAAACACATTCAATTAGAATAAATACTGATTTAGAATTTAGTTAAATTGTATTTAAGTCAAAATTCATACAATTAAATTAGAATTGAATTAATAACTATTTAGAAATGAAAAAGAAATAGTGTTTATTTCTTTTTTAGCAGACCAGCCCAAAAAAAAATCAGACCCATGGAGAGGGACCCAGGAGAGATTGGACAGGAGACATAGGTCCAACAAGTTCAGACCCATGGAGGGGGACCCAGGAGAGGCTAGACAGGAGACACGGGTCTTTTTTTTGTATTTTTTTTTGTTTTTGTATTTTTTGGTAGACCAACGAAAATACAAAAAATCAGACCCATGGAGAGGGACCCAGGAAAGGCTAAACAGGAGACAACCAAAACTGCAGACCACATGTCCACAGAGTCAGACAAGAGCCCCAATGGGGTCTGCAGTTTTGTTTTTTTTGGATTTTCGAGGTTTTTGCATGGTTTGCTTTGCTGTATACTGTTGTTATCACATCAAATTGCCCTTTATTCTGCGAAATCCATGTAGAACCCTTCAAAACCTTGCAAAATCAACACTTTCACATCTCCCCCCCCCTCCCCCCCCGCTCTCAAAAAAACACAATCCTGGACAGGCTGTCGCAGCTGTCAAAGTGTCAGTGTCGAAAACACCAAACGAACGTGAGAATTCCGCCCAACCGAGCCCTTATCATCCTTATCTGTACGTAAATACACACCAGTACACCTTGGCTTGTTCCCTTACTGGCGCTGGGCACATCAATCGTTTATCGCGCTCACTTCGTAGACTGATCAGTGATCAATCGTCATGAATGCCTGAACCCCAAAGCTCGCCCCGGGCCGGAGCTCGCGGCTTGCCGGTGAATCATGTACGGCTCGCACGGCACGGATCCCTGCACCGGCTGCAACTGCTGCAACGACGTGCGAGCCATGGTACCCTTCGGTTCCGGCCGCTGTCCGTCGGTCACTCCTCACAATGGAAGCAAATGGAGTGGTCGCACACGTGGCACATGCCATCCAACACAAAGGCGGCATCCCCGGCATCCAGTTTGCACTCCACGGTGCAGCCCTCCCTGACATCAGGAAACAGCATCCTTTCAAACGCACGCTTGGTTCTGTGAACTTCCGGTGAAACTTTCTTTCAATTAATTAGCTTCAAGGCCTTTGAAGCTTCGGCCCGCCTGCCACAGGGCATGGCGGAACCGTTCAATGGCAGGGGAGTGACAAGGACGGAAGGTCGTAGAAGCAGTTTGACGAAGGATTGCCGTCTAAAGTTTTGCTCATTGCGGGCCGGGTAGTCGTAGTCACGACGCTGGCACTTGCAAGCAGTCAAATATTATAACAATATTATAACAATATATAACTTAATGCAAGCACTGTCTATATATTACAATAGGACAGGATTCCCATTGTATGTTTGAAGACATGTGCGTACTGCAGCTGCATGGTGACAGCACCTATGAACTGATCAATTGACCTTGAGCAAAGTGGCTTTCGCAACAAACCAAATGTTTGACCATGTGCGGGAAAAACATCAGGAAGAACGAAGAACGGCATGAAATCGCCAGATTGAGCCACTCAATCTAGTCTGCAACAGGGCAGTTCACGAGACTTGTCACCCGGACTCGGTCCGGAACGCTGAGGTGTCCCGGTGTGACTGACCTGAAAGAATCTCTGCAAATCCAAGAAGGTCTACAACACGCATCAAGTCTTCGCCGGAATCGGAGCGAAGAGCGAGCGAGGGAGCAAGGGAGAGTGAGTAGAAGTGATTCAAAGCTCGATCGAAGTTGGCATGTACATTTATTGAGCCCAAAGAGTTCCCAGATCTTGAATTGGCATCACACATTTGGGCCCAAAGAGTTCGCAGATCACGAATCGCATCTCCGTGCAGAACGCTTCTCCCAGATTTTTCCTCCAGAGCCTTTTCCCCGGACCCAAACGACGTGGGAGACCTTGACCCGCCCGGCCTTGCATGGTCATGGGACGATCAGACACCTTCACCTCCGTCATGGCTCCAACCCCTGCGAGCCGAGCGAGCCGAGCGCGGAGGGGTGGTGGCACCGATGTGGAGGCACCGGGGGGGAAGGAGGTGAGAACCAGGTGATGTTTCTGCTTATGATGCATTAAATCATTAGCAGCTAGTCTCCCAGTCTCCCCACAGTTGAAGATGTTGAAAGCGCCATGCAGGGCTTAGACAACTTCTGCTTCTTTCTCCAGCATTCGGCAACAAGCTGTGAGGCTCGAGTGCTCCAGAATTGATCCCAAAACTCCATTAAGGGCTGATCGACTGTGAAGCCCCGGACCTTGTTTCTGACCCCTCTTCGGCCGCCTGGGCATCAATAATTAAGGAGGATCCAACACAAACAGTCATTCTTAATTAATTCGTATAGTTCAAGTATTGCTCCAGTCTAGCATGATCATAGCATCAAGCCAGGCGGAATGCTCTCTTGTAGCCTTTCTTGGGAAGGCTATATAGAGTACCCGAATGAGATACTACCCATGCCCATGTGTTTCACGCAGTGTGTATCCCAAAACAAAATCGTATGAAATCGTCAAGCTGGCTCGCCCTGTTTCTGGTGGAGAACATTTGCACCAGGCAAGATATGCTGTTGGACAAAATTCAAAGCCAAGGTCTTCACAAATCTTGACGCTGGCTCCAGCTTTGGGATTTCTGAAAACAAGTGATACATTCTCAGGTGGTCTTGGGTATCTTCGTTGGAACCGCCTAAGAACGAAAATGGCTACTAAAATGGTATATATCAGATTGATTCAGATTGGTTTCTGCCACTAAATGCATGTTTGTGGTTCGTATGACAACCATTGACAACCATACTCAGGACAGTGATCACAGACCTTACCCAAGACCCTTGTGGGCTTGATCAAAGTCCAGACACATCCCACCGTTGTTCTCCTTGCTTTCGACCATTGCAAACCTAGCACCTTCCTGTCTGGGTGCCCTGTCTGGAGGCCTGTAAGGTAGGGTAGTCTAGGCGGGACACCCAGACAGGATGACCCTGGAACAAAGGTCACGCGTCCGGGCTCCCCCGCCGATCAGCGGCTGCTGCGCGGTGCCCTGCCGCGTGCGTGAGGCGCTCGTCATGCCTCGTGAGGCGCAAGACATTCCTGGACCTTCCTGGACTGTCAGGGTGTCCTGTCTGGAGATCCATGAATAGAAATACGTGGGGGGAAGGTTTTTTGGGTATTCCAGCCAGACCCCATCAGTTCATGATCGAAACCAAGACTCGGATCCTGGAAAATCCTTCATAAATACGTTTTTGTTCATCCATCTTCAGGTCATCTGTCCCATATCTGCTTCTCATTCCTCCAACACTCTTCTTGCGCCGTCACGGGCCGTCACTGAGTCAAGGGCGACCACCCTGCGCAGTGGGCACCTGATTGGGTTCCGCTGGCCGTTCCAATTTGCCATTAAAACTGGCAGCAACGTTCTTGGAGGACGTGGCAGGAGACCCCTGGTCGAAGTCCACCAGAGGGGGAATGAGACTACTCATTTGCAGATATCTTTTGGCGCAAGGGCACAAGTGACACAGATGTGTTGGATTGTCTTTGTGGTCATTTGCACACTTCTTAAGGGTACAAGAGTACTGCGGTAGAAATTCAACACTTTTTACGCAACGCGGTTTCCACGGCTTTTCAGCGTAGGGGTCCTCATCGCGACATCCTCCGAGGGTCGGGACGTGCACCTTGCCCAATGCTGCCCATTCGTCCAATGTGGAAAAAGCAGTGTGTGGCTCACCGGGCACAAGGGGGATCTCATCATCACTGAATCTTTGACACATCTCAGCGAATTGATCAAGAATAAGTCAGTGACTGTTGGCTACTGCCCATCTGCTGGATGTGTGCCATGACTCTGCCATGACCCTTGAATCGTCATCTGGTGCATAGGAACTCCTACTCTTCCCAACGTCTCTGCACCAGGTCTGCCAGGTGCCCCGTGCCCGGCCAGTCTGGCCCATGGGGTTCGCTCCCCTGCAGCGGTGGGCGAATGAACGATCCAGGAGCCCCGTTCGTAGCGTCCGATCCCTCCTAGTAGCGATGCCCTTTGTTCCTAGTAGCTTCTTGTTGCTAGTAGTAAGGCCAGGAGCCCCTAGTAGCTTCTGGCCAGGAGCCCC